TTTTTTCTTAAAAGATGCATATTAAACAAAGAGGAGTTTGTTTTGTCTTTTGGATGACTCTGCTTTAAATTACTTTCTTTGAGGGATACTGATGTTATTAGGTTATCACTAAGTGAGTATCACTAAGAGAGTAACTATTACCAGATACTGTGGGCTCATCAGTTTGCATCCTTTTTCATTTCTAGTACATTTTGATGTTTTTATTTTTAATTGATAATGGTAGAAGGAAGAAAAATAGCTTTCATTATAGAATAAACATTCCCTTTAAAGAAGACAAGTCATTGGTGGATGATAAAGAGGAAAGAGCTGGGCTTTAGAGTCAGATGAGGTTGAATTCCCAGCTCTCCTGCTGGTCAGGTGTGTTACCTGGGGGACATGACTTACTACCAACCAATATGTTTCCTGACATGTAAAGGAGGGTCGTAGTCCATCCTTCAAGGGTGATTGTGCCTAAGAAAGACCGTACGTAGGCTGTTCAGGTTAGTGCCGGGCACATGCTTCTCAGCGTGATTAACTGCAGCCGTGACTATTTTTATTGCCATTTTTCTTCATATTACTGTTTTCAGCCTGCAAAGAGCTTCTCCTTACCTGACCTCTAGCTGATTTTAAAGTATTACATTTCAGACTAGGGAAGAAATGGGGAATCCTTTATTTAAATCTTCAGCTACTTCAGATACGTGACCTCAGCATCCTTTCTTGTCCTTCAGAGGACTTTAAATTAGCAACTTGTACTATGTGCTACCCAAGTAAGACAGGAGGCTTCTTTTTTGTCCCTCCGTTTTGGCCTTGGAGGTAATTTGCAGAGATGAGCACTCGAGCATGTACATGGTCAGTTCTCCAGGGGTGGGCTGGATGTTAACTTGGTAAAATAGATCAAATTAACTGTTTAAGTTAAGCTAACTAAGTTCCTAAGAGTGAAGTTGTCTCTTTTATTTTAGATCAGCACTGATGCTTGCTGTACGTCATGACTCACCGGACATAGTCAAGCTGCTTCTTCAGAAAGGTGTTAATGCCGATTTGCTAGATGTACACGGACACTCTGCTGAACAATATGCTTGTTCTAATGGTTTCAAACAGTAAGTGTTTACATTAAAGTGCCAGTTATCTCTAAACTGAGGTTGGAAATGACCTAACTGTGACTTGTTATGTGACAGGTGAGAATTTGTAGTTGGGAGCAGGCACTTTGGGGATGGCAGTGAGACCCTCCACATCATCAGCTGGAAACCAGCAAAAGGCCAGACTAGTGAGATGGAGCAGTGGGCACAGGGTTCTTTATCTCGGGGTTTGTAAGACGTTTATCCTTAGGGTCCTGCTGTTCTCCATTTCATTCCAGTGTAACCCCAATGCATGGGGTACAAATAATGTCACATATCTGATTTTTGTAACTAGTTGTTTGGGTCTTGAAATGTTTGGTAGAGCAGAAAATCCTGTATTTTCCTTTGGAGACTTTCTCCTATAATCTTCCTCTTGAATTTTCCAAGAACCTAAGGAATTCCCTGAGGCCACAGTGACAATCCTCTCCCACAAGGCATTGGGGCAGGGCGAGGGCATTCTAATCATTCTCTTGTTTCCCTTGATTCTGTTGCTGCAGCGTTGGTACTAAAACTGGTTTTAACAGGATCTCCTCGGCAGCTGGGTCTGGGGTCTGGATGTTGCTCTCTAAAGACCTTTAATAAAATTTTCAAAGAAGACAAGGAAAAAGAAACTGGTCCTGCAGTCGGGTCACGATTGACCTCTGCTCCCGGGATGCCTGTGCTGATCCAGTTTCTGCGGTCTTCGTGGCGATGGACACGTAAACTTCAGAGTGACAGCTTGTTTAGTTCTCATACATATGCTTGTATGAGGTCATATATTTATAAAT